AGCGACAAACACACGATGACACAAAATGCTACCATTCGGATGAGGTTCATCGGGGTACCAGTCTAAAGAAAACCTTTCAGCCTTTAGGTTATATTAGGGCCCCGACTACAGCCGGGGTGGGGCCTTAAAATAACAAAAAGCTGCGTCATGCATTAGGACGGAATTGTTCGTTGTATAAGTATGTATTTTTACGTAGGGAAGTAGTTACCCCACTAGAACATCACACAGAGCGATAAACACCCGGTGACACGAGGTGCCACCATTCGGATAAGGATCACCCGTAGGGAGATCCCGGAAACCCTATATAACCGTTACATTAAAATAGAGCCTCTTATTTTATGTTATCACAATTGACGTCACTGAGCATTCCTATTGGTTCTCAGTCCTTCGATGTAGCAGCCACGTCAAGGTACTTCTTTTTATTATTCCCATGAGGAGTTGGTAATAATGTCTCCTATCTCGGGATCGAAGGCGGCATAAACGTTCTTCACAATGATCAATTCCTGTGTCACGTAATCGCATTGTGTCAAAGATATGTCAGTGTCCACTAGCTCAGTCTGTACAGCGTTGTCGATACCTGCATTATAGTGCATTGCTTGCCAGTTGGTCCGCTCGCTCATTTCCATTTACGCCCGCATGATCAAGTGTGTAGATCCAGATGAGGGAGGTTGAGTACGATTCTGAATGCTTTTTACCTATTGAGGGCGAATAGCGAGTGTTGCTGTGTTCCGAAGCATGTTCATGGAGTCTGATACAATTACTGTCTGTGTGGGTGTTTGCTCTGATACTCATACTAGTGCTCTAGAAGCAGCAGCTACCTCCATGGTTATGTTTGACGTGGTTGCCTGGTAACGCCGCTGCCCTCTTGTGCTATTTTTCCTATTCTTTGCACCGTGCATGCCCATGCTGACCTTGATCCACGCTTCACCGATCCATCTGTGTAGATGTTGATGTCTAGACTTTCGATAATTGTAACAGCCCTTCCTTTGATAACTATAAGTCGTAGCGCTAATTATTAACTTGTAATTGTAATACGCCTGTTCAGCCATGTCTAGGCAGGTTACTGTATCGACAAGTTTTAACAGCGCAGCAAATTGGCCAGGTGTGTATCTTCATTTTCTAAAGCTCCAACTATCATAAACCAGAGACCAACTGTTCTCCTAACGACTGCACAATTTGGAAAAAAAAAAGAAAAACATGTGTGAATGTTCACCGTCGGGTTTTTCTTTATTAATCACTCAGCTATACATTCTATACAAGGTCGCTCTTTGAAAAGCAAAGGAACCTTGCGCGACAACTTTAACGGATTAGTGCAACTGTTGTCGGAATGTAGTGCCATTTATTTCATACAACACACGTAGTTCAGTCTTGAAGTGTGGGTTCCAAGACCCTACTTTGGTAAAAGAAGAATAGACCCACTAGCACTCTAACAAGCATGTCGTAGGAGGCAACTAATTAGTAGTGTTTCCTCTGGTCTGAAAGCATCAACCCGAAAGGCGAGGAACTTATAGTCAGCATACACATTAGCCAGATCTATAAAACGAATGAACACGAAAAAAAAAACCTTTTCTGGAACATTACCAAAGTCCAGAAGTGGACGAACAACCATGATTTTTCATTGGAGTTTTCTGCAAATGAAAGCTAAGGAGAAGGAGAGGGAAGTGTCCACAATTCCATGTTTTGATCTTCATAGGTGGGAAAAAATATTGAGCATTACTTTTCGAATGCCTCGCTTTTACATGCCATATCAAAGAATAACCAATACAGAAAACCACGACACTGGGTTGTAACTTGGTGTCAGTGAGACGACAGAAGAAGAAGAAAGAAAAGAGCAAATGATCGGATGGCTTGGCGTAAGCTGATAAGGACCTATGCTCCCCTGGGTGATAAAAGGCAGAAGAATAAAAAAGAATTTAATGCCCATTTCTCGAGTCATTATTATTCATCTTTGTGCTAGTTTCGCCCTCTTTATCCTTTTTATGGAGTATTTTAACTAATTTGTGTTTTAGTGAATATATGTTACTCCTTTTAGACACAGACATGTTATATATAAGGTAACAAATATGTTGGCTATGAGGAGTTAACAGTAAATCTTGAAAACACGGTCTTCCCGTAGCAAATTTAAATAATGACGAAAACAATAGATTGCACACGTTACTGCAGGGCATATTTGGTTGAATCACTACACATAACGTAGCATATGCATTCACATGTGGTAATTGTAACAGACTCTGAAAGCATGCTGAAAAAGGTAAAGACAGAAATGCTTCATGCAGAGTGGCTAGCTTCACTGGAAATGTCACGGGTGGTGAGCACACTTTGGATCTTTTCTCCAGGCTATGCCAGCGAGAGGGGTAATAAACAGAGAGACAAATTGGCTGGATCCGCACCACTGAGTGATAAATTGATACATGACAAGACAGATGTGGTCAAGGCCCTTAGGGAACAAGCAACGGAATCAGTAGAGAAAGAAGATTATCATTGCCTGGAGAGAATGAGGCACCTGGGTGTAACCAGATGGTCTGGCCGGCTGACTGCACTCAGAGGAAAGGCAAGACGGACTTTTAACCAGATTGTGAACTGTACCGTCAGTACTGAAACTCCCCGCTGGCTGGCGAAGATGAGGACGGAGCACGCATGGGAATGGCCTGAGTGCTGTGATGTCAACTATTGACTCAACTCAACTCAACATTATGTAGCATAAAAACTGAATTAATTTTACTGAAATACACATCTCACCCTGTCTCTCGATACACTGCTCGACTAATTGCCAGAAGTTCACGATAGTCATGTGACTTCCCAGAGTACCTTTAAATGTATAATGAACTCCTCTGCTTTGTTATTTACGATACAACTAACAGTCGAATGCTGCGACTAGCCAGAGATTTAACAGTAAAAGTGAAGTAACTATAGCCCAGCACTGCAAGAGTTAATGACTGTTTTCTAAACAGTCAATAGTAAAAATCATTTTATTACCATAATTTGTAAACTGTTAGTTTTATTAATGAATAGTTTCGTTAATATGTAGTAGTCTTCAGTGATCATCATCCTCATCATCATTATGTACTGTGCTGATAAGCGTAGGTTGTCATGTTTCGCTATCACACGACCACCATTATTGATCGTGATTGTTTTCTCGTCTCGCCCAATCCAACTGGCTTAAATAGCAAAGCAAAGATACCTTTTCAGGCCTTGTGGTGCATCGGGCATATGGGAAGAGCACCCATATTTTTACAGACCTATTGGCACTAAGTGGGTAACATTGTCACCATTACGTCGGCTGTCTTTACTTCCCCATGAAGACATACATCCTGGTACCAATTTTAGGCCGGGTCGACCTGCGACGACACACACTATGATAAAAATCCACGCAGCCAGCAGTGGGTTTTTATCCCGGTACTTTGGAATTACGAGTCAGACTTGCAACGCCTAAGCCACGGACGCCGTATTAAAGCTAAAATGTCGAGGTATTTATCTCTTTGCCTTCCACGTTGCCCTTTCTCATCAGTTTTGCAAACATTGTCGAGTTCATTACTCGTCAAAAAATGTCTGAAATACATTGACTGTTTATATCTAATTTGTCTCATCGGTTAGCGACTTTCTTCTAAGCAAATAACAAGTTTCTCCAAGCTAGAACTTGCAATAACAGATGGTGGCACAAGATGAACAGTCACTTAGAAAATCCAACTGAATCTCTCTGAACGAAGTTGTACTAAAGAATAGGTGGTACGTCATAGAAACTAAAACAATCACATACAGACGTTCTAAAAAATAAAAATATGCTATTGAAATTTTATAAACAATAGAAAATTGAAATATTTAGGCTAAAAATAAGTAACACTGCTTTAAAAACAATACTAGAGCGTAAAGGCGAAGTCAAGAGAGCAAGAGTTGGACAACGATACTAGTGGGGGGGGGGGGGAACAACGTCGTGAGACGGACTAGCAGCAATCAGAGAGAGGATACTTCCAAGACAAGAGACAGAATAAGCTGAAGCCCCATCACAGCCGAACTTTACTGTGGAGACGGTACCTGATTGATTAAAAAGATTCTATTTTTCAGCAGTGTCCATAACAGATAAGACATAAATACATAGTCACATAAAGCAGATTGCTGTATTCACAGATAGTATTCGTGTTTGTTATTGTTATCGACGGATACATTTCTTGATAGAACGTTATCAGAAATGCAATTTCTACGTGCAATATGTGGAAAATGTTCTAACTAAATATTCAGTTTTCAAATATGTGTTTATAATTTACAGTTTTATAATACTATAATTAGGGTTAATCTTCTCCTGCCCTTGTTCTTAGAAGAAGGGGGAGGGGAAGGGGTACGATGTAACAGCTAGCCTGTGATTGCCCTTTTCTTCCCAGTACACTAGATTTTTTTTTGCAAAATCCTAATTGGTCGTCTTTTACTACATGGGCAGCTGAACCTACACGAGGACAACGTTTTTTTAATACATAGTTTTAAAATTATGTTCTGCACTCTATGAAGTGCTTAAGGTCTTGCATTTGATAACACATATGAGTTAATCCATTCTGAGAAAGGTGAAGAAAGACATGCTCCGTACAGAGTGCAAGCATTGCACCAGAGATAACGGTAGCCTGTGTCCTTTGGATATTTTCTCCAGGGTATTGGGAAACGAACAGCCATACCGGTGGCACTACACCACCGGGTGGTGACCTAATGCATCAGAAGCTAAATGTAGTGACGGCCCCTTAGAAACAAGTGAATTATACCGAAACCAAACAGACCATGGAGAGAAGGCTGCGACAGGGATGATGGGATCTGGTCAGCGCTACTCTCAGGCAAGACTTTTGCTGATACCATCAGAACTGGAACTCTTCGTTGGCTGCTTATGTCATGGACTGAGAACGTATAGGAATGCCGCGAGTGCTGTGATGTCAATTTTGTGCTCAGCTCCATTTTACTCAAGTGTTTGTATATTTAATTGTGTTGTTTTCTTTTTTTCAGGAAGTAGCTAAACAAAGAAAATGAGGGACTGGGAGGAAGTACTGAATGCGTCTCTGTACAGAAACGTGACAGATATTCATACCAGAATCGATGAAATAGAACATGAGCTCAACCAGTCATTTCTTATCATTATGGGTGTGCTGATGATGTGTAAGTAAGGTTTCTGTGTTGATTTAATAATCAATGTGTTTTGTGTGTGTAGGTGTTGTGGTGATATTTAAGTGAGGTTTATTTTTTTATGTAGCTGGTTGGTTAGTGGTTGTACCACACCAGGACATCACACAAGCCATAAACACCCGGTGACACTAAGTGCCATTATGTGGATGAATTAATCAAGTAACAGAAAGTATTGTGAACGGCACTCATAGAAAGAAGTAGAAAGATAGAAGAACACACTAGACAACATAAAAATCGAAAGCTATAGTTACCGTGCTGGGAATTGAACCTGTCACCTCCAGACGGTGTCTGCGCCTCGCCATGAATACAAGTGCACTAAGATACATGGTCAAATAGGCACCCCCCAAAAAAGGTGTCTCATTGGCCATGTCTATCGTACAGCTTGAAATCCACGACTATGGAATACGGACAGAACTCATTTCAACCCATTGAAATGGCACTATAGGTTACAGAAATTTATATTAACGAAGCAAATATCGAATAACAATCACAGCAACAATTTACGAACACAGTAGACCTTATTGCCTTGTCTAGAATACACAAACATTTAAGAAAAGTATTTGAATTGTAGGTTCCGGTGTGTATACGTCATTCCTTTAAATAAACAGACGGGGGAACCATTTGAGGCCGTTAAATATTATGAATTAATCAAGTAACAGAAAGTATTGTGAACGGCACCCGTAGAGAGGTCCCAGAAACCCCTTTCAGCCGTTAAGCCAAATCTTTGGCTAGGCAATATTTATGCCCCGGCTGTATATAGGGCCCCCTGCATAAGTCAGGGTGCGGCTTCAAATAACAAAAAATGTCATCCCACAAGGGGCCACTGAATATAACATCTAGGTGATATTGGAGTTTTTAAGTTTATTTGTTGGGGTAATCATTAAAAATATATTATAATAATTGGTATGTTTGTGTGTCTGT